CTTGCTTAGCACGCACAAGGCCCTGTATTCCATCCCCAATGCCAAAATAAACAAACAAAAACCCAACAAAACAAACAAACAAACAAAACCAACAACAACAAAAAAGACCATCAAATGAAATACATATGCTCTCAAAAGACAAGAGATAATACATAGAAAGTTCTTACATCATTTAAACTGAGAGAAAGAAACAAGAAAAATCTACTGTTTTTCATGCATTACTTATAACACACTTCTCTGGGCACAGTGCCATTACAGAAATAGCTAGGACATTTAAAAAATATATGATGTCAGGATGGTTCTCTCAAATGAAAACTAAAAATCTATTTGTTCTGTCCTTGGTACCTTTCACTGCCTATCAATTTTAAGAGCTGCTACGAAAGACTAAGTCAGTCCAGGATGTTGGCCAAACTATTCCTAGATACTGAAGTTGGCAGTTGTTGCTGAAAAACAACTCTGTCCCCAAATGTCACAACTCTTCTCTGAGCCTTTCAAAGACTCAGATACATGACTTATGACACACTGGTCTAAAAAATGCCAATTTGGCTCAAATTGATCAGACCTAGCAATTAAATCATCTTCTTGGGAAAGGGATATCTCTTTCCCAGTATGACGTCATTCAAAATTACTCTCAACAGCACCTCTCCCCTGGGCAAACAGTTAGCAACTGAAAGACAACATGATTTCCCTAGGCCACTTGGTGAGTCAGTCACACAAACAGGAACAAAACCCAGCTTTACTGATGGCCAAGACTGAGAGACTCAGCCCTACCCTATGACAACTCCTGTTCGATAAGATGACTAACTGAACAATTATTTGCTCTAAGACTTGCTCCACAAGCAAGCTGACAAGTTTCGGTCCACGTTCTCAGGAGCACGCGATCTACAGGAAGAGGAAGTGAAAGAGGTTGAAATGTTTACACTGTCATGCTTCCCTACGCCTTACTGGGTGTGGTGGAGTTTGGGGCTTGAAATTAAGCACCTCTTTTTGGGGGCGAAGGGTTTCCAAGCCTCTTTAACTTTTATCCATCTTGGTCTTCTTTTGCTCATTCTATTTTAGAACTTCACTCACTCTTTATATATAGCACACACATATACACATACATATATAGATGTATACAGTAGTTTTAGATGGACACAATACCTTAATTGAATCTATTCGTTTATATTTGGTGCTGAGGATTGAACCCAGGGCCTCACACATGCTAGGTAAGTGCTGTACCACTGAGACACAACCCCAGCCCTCTTCACTCACTCTTGAGCACCAAACCCTTTTATATGAAAGAGGTTTCAAATAAATGCACCCAGGAGAGGCTGGAGGCTGTTCTGGGGCTCATAGTTAGGAAGGAATAGTTTCTGGGTATACAAGTATAGGGGCAGAGAGAATTGGGGCACAGGGCAAATGATTCCTAAATTCTCATTGAAAAGAAGTCAGAATAGATGTTTCTCAGGGTATATTTTGGCTTTCTGCTTCTTCTTCCTCTTCCCCTTCTCCTTCTCTATTCTTTTTCTCCACCTCCCTCCTCCTCCTCCTCTTTTTCTTCATCTTCTCCTTCTCTTCTTCCTCCTCTTTCTTCTGTTTTTTTTTAAGTATAGATTTTTTTAAAGAATTTTAATATTTATTTTTTAGTTTTCGGTGGACACAGCATCTTTGTTGGTATGTGGTGCTGAGGATCGAACCCGGGCCGCACGCATGCCAGGCGAGCGCGCTACCGCTTGAGCCACATCCCCAGCCCTGGAAATATTTTTAAACTTGTGGAAAAGCTACAAGCATTAAAAAGGAAAAAGTGACAGAACTCCAATAGCCATTTGCACAGATTCACTTATCAGTTCTTTTCTTTTTTAAAAAGAAAAGAACTGTTCTGTCTAGATATACATGACAGTCCTTTGGGTATAAACAGAGGAGTGGGATAGCTGGGTCAAATGGTGGTTCCATTCCAAGTTTTCTGTGGAATCTCCATCCTGCTTTCTGGAAAGTAGTTGTACTAATTGCAGTCTCACCAGCAATGTGTAAGTGTGTTTCTTTTCTTTTTCACCTCTAGGGCCTTGAGTGTGCTAAACACATGCTCCAGCCCTGAGCCACACCACCAGCCCTAGATTCACTTCTTAACATTTTGCCACATACACTTTGTCATTTATCATCTATCCACCTATAATATATTTTCTGAATCATTTGAGAATAAGTTGACCCTTTAACTGAAGAATTAGGATTTTCTCTTACATAACCATATTAGAGTTAACAACCTCAATTAATTTAACACCAAGGAAATACTTTTATTTGATGTGTTCATATCCGCAACTGATTTCATAATTTACTTTATGGCATTTTTTCTTCCATTACAGGAACCAGTCTAGGGCCAGGAACTGCCTTCATTTTTTTCTGTCTCCTTGATCTCCTTCAGTCTGGAGCATTTCCACAGTTTTTCTTCACTTCTTCCTTTCTTCTTTCTTGTTTGGTACCAGGGATTGATCCCAGGAGCACTTAACCACTGAGCCATAGCCCCAGCCTTTTTTTGTATTTTATTTAGAGACAGGGTCTCATTGAGTTGCTAGGGCCTTGCTAAATTGCTGAGGTTGGCTTTGAACTCATAATCCTCCTGCCTCAGCTTCCTAAACTGCTGGGATTATAGGCATGTGCCACTGCGATCAACATGTTCATAGCTTTTCTACGCCACTTATAACATTGAACTTTTTAAAAGTTTTTTTTTTTTTTCCTCATTTTGTGTGTCTGATTTTTTCCTCTAGGTTAGAGTCCAGTTCCACATTCCCCACTGCAATCTTACGTAGGCCACCTATAACTACAGGCACATGACACCTTCCTGCCCCTCCCTGTGATGTTGAATTGTATAACTAGGTTGTTAGCCAGTTCTCCTCTCTATAGTTACCACATCTTCCCTGGTACTAAACAGCAATCTGTGGGAGACATTCTAAGATCATACAAATATGCTTCTCATCAAAATTTCCCCACTACCTTGATTTAGAATTTATTAATGATTCTTTCCTAAACTAATCTTTATTACGATGATTACAAAATGTGTAAGAATCGTCTTCTGTTCTCCATTTATTTATTTGTTTCTTTGCTTATCATCAGTTTATTGTATGGTTGAAGATTCTTATTTTTTCCCCAAAGCCCTATAAGTCAAATTCAATACTGTCTTTAATAATTTCGTGCTCATCTGGATCGATGGTATATGCCTGTAATTTCGGCTATTAGGGAGGCAGGAGCATCTGAAGTTTAAGGCCAGCTGGTGCAACTTAGTGAAACCCTGTCTCATAATAAAATTTAAAAATCAAGGGCTGGGAATGTATCTCTGTGGTATAATGCTCCTGGGTTCATTCCCCAGCATAGGGAAAAATAAAAGTGAGCTCAAGAATTCTCAGATCTGATCTGGCCAATGGAAAGCTCTTCATGCTCTCTCTTGTGTCCTTGTGACTTTTTTTTTTTTTCCTCTTGTAGCGCTGGGAAATTGAAACCAGGGTTTACACATCCTAGGGCAAGGTCTGTGCCATTGAGCTACACCCCCAGCCTTCTTGTTTTTGTTGGGTTGCTGTTGAGTGTGGCATGGTTTTAAGCTCTGTCTTACTTTCTGGCATAAAAAGATGCTCCAGGTGTAAGAGGGGTCCGGCGGAGTGTCTGAGGGAGAGACCACATAAGAGACTTACTCCATGCAATTGGCAAAAGGGGATTTATTAGGGATCCATTCCAGCACTGGGGCTCCGTGCTTACTCAAGAAGGGAGAGTAGCCCAGAGCCCCGAGCAGAGGTTCAAACAGAGCTTAAGTACACTTTTTGGGGAGGGTGGGAGGTTTTGCATACATCAGTACAAATCATCATGAGGCGCGGGGAAATTGAACAACAACTCTGAGACGTGATTGGCACATTCATTGGAGGGAACAGGTCGGGCGGGGGTGATTGGTCATTCGTAAGCGGGTTACACATTCAAACTGATTGGTTTGGGCCCTGTGAGGAACTGCACAG